ATTTTGTAGAGGAAGACGAGATCTACAATTTCTGTATAAAAGTTGTTCGTTAGCATCAATGGTTTACGAGTAATTTACGAAAAACTGTTTTTTCGTTTTTCGTCAATAACTCGTAAACTATTAACGCTAGCGAAAAAGTTTTATATAGAAATTGAAGCTATAATCGTCCTCTACAAAAAATGTTTTATGCAATTTTCCCGTAGATTCAACGGTTTAGGAATTATTGAGGAAAAACTAAATTTTTTGCCAAAGGTGGCTGTTTCGACGGTGGGACACAGGACATTAAATAATTCACTGAGTACACTTGTTTTTCAGAGTTTCGCTGAATTTTTAAACTCCTGCAACTTTTAATTCTATTTTCGATTATCGATGGTTGCAGAATTTCTCTTTTTTCAATTATTCGTTACCAAGCTAATTGGTTGTCTTTGTAAATTGACAAGTTTGGCTCTGCTACTGTTTTTATCGAGTTTCGTTTTTCGTTTACCAGCTCCGATTGGTCAATAGTTAATTGGTTGTTTATGGATTTAGATACGGGCGGAAGAGAGCAAAGTCAGCGATGCGGAATGGTTTGAACGATGTTTGCTGCTGATCGAGGGGTAATTAATAGCGATTTAATGATGCAGGTCCGAGCAAATTCGCCGGCAGATAACAATATGCGAGATTTCGAAGGGTATTAACGATAATACGTACGCAGTTCGATAGATTAGGTACAGGGACACGTGAAATTCGATTGCATGTTACTATCGAGCACACGCTCCGCGTGTTAATTATGCGATTTTCAATATTTTCCTTGTAATCTCCGGCCGAGAACAGCGGCGCGATTGATCCGAATTAAAAAAAAACAGCTTGCACATTTCACGTTAATCGAATAAACGGCAAGTGTTCCGAATCATTTGTGCAAACATTCGTTTACATCGGTGCTGTTTCAATCGTTAATTTTCATTGGTCGATTTCCATGCACGCGTTTCCCGTCCGCGTACAATTCGGGTACAACGGAGGAGGGAGTAGAGAATATTTTGATTGTCCGCAACCGGTATTTACAAAATTGTTAGCGCTTTTTTCTCGTTTTTCGTCAGCCGTACGATAATTTCGGCCGCGAGGTAAAACGGTGGGTAATATCCGTGTCGTAGCTGACAGTGCCGCGTTTCGAATCAAACGACAACGGCGCTACGGCAAGCGACACCGGACAACTTGTGCAAATATTTATGCAGCCGGAAACAGACGGAAAAACGTTCGAATTTATTCGCTGTCGTAACGGGCCCTGTTAAAATTGTGGACACAATGACGCCATCGCCGGCGTTCGCGATTTTTTCTCTTCCCCCTCGCGGCAATTTTTTGGTCATTGTTCGCTTCCAAACGAGAACTAAACACCACGAAGCGTGAAAATCGGCCAAGATTTACACGTAATTCCTGTTACGCCCTGTAATTAAAAGTTCTATAAAACAGTGACCCCGTCAGCTTCCCAGTTAAAAAAAATTATATCTATTTTTTTTATGACAAATTAATTATAATCTATGTATTATTTTTAATACCTGATCACGTTATTGGAAATGATTAATAAAAATTTCTCTGTATAAGGCTAAACCGTTAATCTCAGCCGCATTTTCTCTCATAGCAGCTTTTTGGTCATTGTTAGTTTCCAAACGAGAGCTAAACACTGCGACACATAAAAATGTCCACATAATTCTCGTCATTCCCAATGATTAAAAATTCCACACAATCGTGGTCTCATTAGCTCCCCAATTAAAAAGAACCATGCCTTTTTATATGACGTAAATTAATGATAATCTGGGTTTATTTTTAGCATACGATCACATTATTGGAAATAAATAATA